CCTCAGCCCTTAAAGGGGAAAGGTTGCCTACCCCTGCTCTAGAACTCTTTGTCAGGGGAGATTATGATGGTCCCTTCCATGTTTTTCCTTCAGCCAGCCAGTAAATACTTTTTAATCCAGTCAGGCTCTTGGCAATTGACTGGTTGCTAAAGCTGAGTCTTGCTACCAGCAGAGTGCTGCATTTTTTAGATTCACTAACTATTTTTGAAATGTAACTTTACAAGGAGGATATGCAGACAGAGGTCATTGTCTTGGAGAACAGGATAGATAGATGAGTCTGTTTCTGGTCTCTGTCACTTTTGTATGTGTTTACTCTTAAATCCCCACTTCATTTCCAAATGTGTGTTTGTGTGTTTTAAATAAAATCTTCATGAAAAGCTGCATTTAAACGTATATTTCAATATGAATTTAAAATGACTTTTATCTCAAAGTATGAATTTGGAGATGTATTTTCCTTCAAAATATTCACCCCTATATCTTTATTTTTGTAATATATTCATTCCTAAACATATTTTATCTCCATAAATATGACTTTTGAAAGCATTTTAATGCATTTTTTGATGCAAGAAGTGCAAAATCTGGCACAGCTACCTGCTCAGAAGGTGCAAGTCAGTTCTGTTTGTACTGACATTTTCTAAGATCAAATTCCAGGGCAGCCACCTCACTCTATTTAATTATAGGTCCAGCTGGGAAAGCCAGCTATGACAATTAACTCTTTCACTATCATCGAAGATGGAACAAAATAGAGAAATTTTTACTGTCTGTCCAAAAGCAAGCAAATAAGAGGGCATTCTAACCTTCTCATGGAAAGAGTTCCACAACTAACGTTATGCCACAGAACAGATGGACACAATGGCATCCAAAGAAAGTTTGACGCCTTCTTTGACCTTTAAAAGGGTCAATTAAGCTAAACAATTAAATTGAACACAAGTTGTGGAGACAGGGATGGAAGGACTGAGTTTAGTATTTTTGAGAGGCTAACTGTAGAGCTTTAAAAGAGTCTTGCTGTGGAGTTCTTGTTATTGAATTGGCAGGATGGAAGGGCTCCATTGCCCTCACAGTGCTAAATTCTCATTTGAATGTTGGTCCAAGAGAGATGTAGGAATGGAATCAATTACCAGCCATATCAGCCATTTTAAGTTTAAACACCAGACCTTGCAAAGACTCACATCAAGTCTTGCTAGCAATATAAACAGGATTGGTGCCAAACATAGCACAAGAAGTATTCAGTAATAAAACACAGCTGTCTCCATTGGCATTCACCCACAAAAGTTTGTCCTTTTTTTAATGGTTAGAAATGCTGACAAAGAGAAATCTGGGAAAGAAAAACATTTATTTTCCAAGGGAAGGAGGTTTCTGTGAACTGCAACCTAAATATTCACTTAACAACTGAACATTCCATAAAAATAATTTACAACATAATTTCTTCTTAGAAGTACATTTCAGCAGAGGGCTTTTCAAAGACTTTGGCTGAGCTTGGAGGTGCAAAGAGCTTTGCCTTTGAATCCATAATTCTTAATTACTAAAATGCTTTATATACTCTTGGCTAGGCCTTTTAGTAAAGCACATCAAAGGAACCATCTCTCTCCTTCAGTTTAAGACTCAATATGCTGGGGAGTCAAGAAATAAGAATGACATTATTTAAATAGAAATACAATACCTCTCACCATGCCAGGGAAAGACTGTGGTCCAAGTGCGCCTGTTCTGCTCTCCAGGTGTTAATTGTGGGTAACTTGAAGGCTGCTTTATGCTTTATGGTTCTTTATCTCTAAGCCAGAATTCAACTAGACCACCTTTCCAAAGGGCAGCTATGGGGCCACAAGCAACACTCCCAAAGATGTTTTTTTACCTTTCAATCCACCCAGATTCCCCATACAATCCCCTTTCTGTCCCTTGAAAAAGAGGACGAAATGCCTGTTCTAGGAACATCCAAGAGTGGCTATTTTCCTTTTTAAAAGGCTGCATGAAGGCCCTAGTCACTTCCAGGATTTTGTGTTGTGGCATTTTAGGTAGTTTGTGCAGCCCTAGAACAGTAGTTCTCAAATATTGGTCACTCAGTTGTTTTGAATGTCATAAAATCAAAGATTTACAAGGGACCAAAAGGGCCTTCTAGTTCAACTTGTCCTAGTCCTGCTGCCATGCAGGAATACAAACTAATATACTCCTAAAAAATGGTCATCAAGCCTTTGTTTAAAAACATCCAAGACTTCAACTCCCAGAAATCCCAGCCAGCTTGGCCAGTGGTCAGAGATTCTGGGAGATGAAATCTGAAACACCTGGAAGACCAGAATCATGGAAGCAGATAACTGGTCTCCATACCTCCTGTAGCTGCCCATCCCTGATTTAGAAGATATCTTTAAATAGGGAGGACTTTACCACAGCACCTCCGTTCTTGCTGCAATCACATTAAAGAAGGGAAGTGTAAACACATCAGTTTGGGAGCACTCCCTATCACACATCCCTTCATGTGACCAGGCTGTTGTTGATTCTGCACATTCGCTTCTGCCCTTGTCCTTAATCCTGGCTCTCTGCCCTATGGTCTACCCAGCATGCCTTTTGTTTGTGTGTGTGCATGTGTTTCCAATGCAGTTCTGAAGTTATGCTAATTTGATTTAGCAACAAAAAAGAAAAGTAAGAGAAAGTAAAACTAAAAACTAAAAAAGGGAGTTCTTGAATAGCAAAGGGGAGGAAGACAAGGAAAAAGAGGAGATACTGACACCATGTGACTGCACAATCCTGGAACTGCCACAGAACAATTTACTGTACCTCTGAACTAACATGATTGGGAACTCATTGATGGGTTTTCCCCATCAGTGGTATGGTATGGGCTAACCATGCTTCAAAGACAAGGCAGCAACAAGAGGGAAATGACATCATGCAATAAGTATGGCCAAAAGTGTCATTATCAAAAATTTTATGGTGGTTTAAAAGCTGTGTGTGGTAAAGTCTGGAGTATGCTCTGACATTCCTTCAGAGAACTAACCTCTGTAAGATTAGACATATGGCCACCTTGATCCTGCTCTCCTCCCCCACACATTCACTGTACCACGTTTGGCCATAGAAACAAGGATGAAATCTTTCTGTATTCACACTTCTACTTTAAATATTTCAAATGTCTGTAGAATAGACAACATGTGAAATCTGCTCAAATGATATCTGTTTTCCCCCAGTTTTATTTTGAAGTAGATTGATAGTTTGGTGTCAAATGCAAGGAGGGTTTTGTTGTTGTTGTTAACAATTGTGAGTGTCACTTCTGCTACATCATAATTTCATTCTATAACCCAGAGCTCTGGAAAGTGAATTTTTTGGACTACATCTCTTGTTGGCCAGTGTCCCCAAAAGAAGATTCTGTTCATGTTCAGGAAGGCTGGTGCTCAGCTAATATGACCATTGCCCATAATCTGAATTGTTCAATTAGCATAGCCAGACTAGGATTTTGGGATCTGTATGGATCCTGCAACAGTGGAGGTGGAATGGGACTCAAGCCCCCACTTCAAATCTAGGCTGGAGAGGCTGAGCCTCCTGAAAATCCCATTCTTGAAAAGCTATGAGAGAAGCCTGGATTGGATACAGGCTGCCTACTGCCCAGGCATGGGGTAGTGCAATAAGATCCATTGGTGACAGTTACATCCTGTGTCTCTCCTGGGACAGATTTGGCACATGATAATCTCCTAGGACAAAACAGTTGACAAAGTGACATGACAGAAGATTATCTGAGACTCCCTTCCATAGTGTGACAGTTGGAGGGTATGCTTTTGCCACTCCCAAATCTCTTGGAGTTCCTCTGAATCATTTCTTTGCCTGCCCTAGAAGCCTTCAAAAGCAGCAATACACCTTCCAATAGGTAATAGTCTCCTTCAACTTTTTAAAAGTTTTTCAAAAGCAGAAATTGACATCTCGCCATTTCCAGTTTCTTTCTTCCTCTTTTTTTAGTGCAATCTGTGCAAGAACCCAGGGGGTTTCAGGGGCAGAAAAACTGCCAAAGTTGTCTGCCCCATCTTTAAAATGAATTTCTTTTTCGATACCTTAGAAAAAGAGACCTAAGCATTCCTTTTCTAAAACTAAAAAAGAACAAATTAATTTTTTTGCTCTGATCTCTTGTCATTGCTTTGTGTTTAAAGGCCTCCATATAACATTTACAATGGTTCATAAGAATTAATTAGTTTTTCAAACTTATGATGATAATGGGAAGATGTAACCCCTGTTCTGCAGTTGCCCTCAAATGTCTACACAGAATGGAGTTTGTGCACACTGACACAAAAGCTTTCAAACTGAGGGGCTATTAAGTGCCTTGATTTCCCAACTAGTAAAGGAAACAAAAGCCAGTTGTAAAAAGGCTCTTCTTGTTAAAATTACAGTCAGTC